AGTTATCTCTTCCAACCCTGGCAGTTCTACGCACCAATTGGACATTTTTATCATGTCACTGCTTCTGCTGTCTGGGATCACCAGCGATAAATTGTAAAAAAATATGGTATTTTTTTAAACTAAAGGACTGGAGTGTCACTATTTGCAAAAATAAGTTGACTAGGTGCTACTTATTTTCATTTCAACCAAATCTAATTATTTCTTACTAAAATTAGAGCGTATTTTTTCGTAATAACGTTTATGAAAGTGAAAATATAGATACTCTTGTTACATTACGTTTAACATGTTATATTTATTTGAATTCTCTAAATGATCACCTACCCAATAAATTTCAAACGGCGGTTTGTCAATTTTTGTCTAGAGTCAACAAGAGATATATGTGAATAATAAATATTATTCAAAATTGAACTAAAGCATTGAAAATGCAAATAAAATACAGAATGTAAAAAATGTAAATATGACTAGCATGACGTACAGGCAACCAGTATTGCACATCAGTTGGTAGGTATAGAGATGGGTGTTTTCATGTAATAATGAATTTTTATATGCGATATCGAATCTCTTTGAGTACTGCTTACTCCCAATGACGCAACTTAAAGAGATTTTTTCGCGAGATCCCGTTGAGAACAGGAGCGGAAACATATAGAATTTCCCCTTCCTCTCGAAGTTTTGACAGATTTTAGTTACACCGGGAGAAGTTAGATGGCGCATGTTGCGCAAAATGTTATGTTAGCTTTAAGATACTTGATAAACTTAGCTGTCTTGTTAGAATCTGAATTGGTTCGAGTAAAGATAACATGGCCACGCAATACAAGTATTGGAATATACTCTACTAGATTCTAGAAGACTATCCGTAGCGAAATTTTTCTCGAAATCGTTGCACGCCGTTTAAAAAATGCAAATGAAGATTGGAAAACTGTCGCTTTGACGTACTACCCCGGGATAGACATACGTTTTAGTAGTTGACCTTGTCATTCTTGTCACCTAAATTGCTGCGTTGCCAGCTCATCGGACAATTTTGCTACCTCTGCTATTTTGCTAGAATGTTATATAAAAAAGAAGCTTTGAATAAAACATTGAGGGATACGAATGGAGATATATAAAATTTGAGGCGTAGCAATGTTTGCAAAAAAGCTGCTATTTACATTTTGCGCCGCCTAGCGTCTATGCGGTGGAACGTTAATGTCTCTGAACACTTATATAAATGCCCAGTTTTATAGGATAAAATACTTTTTGAATACGGTTCTTCCAATAATTTAAAAAAAAAACATTTTTTTATTATACACGGACTTCGAAGTTGAGTCATTTATTTTAACAGTGAGTAGATCTGATCAAAAGAAATGTTTTTTTCCTTTAACATTTTTGTGGGAAAATTAAAGTAACAAAGTTATAGCCCTTTAGAAGTTTGAGTACCGCCCTGTCTCAATAATAATATTATGTGCTCGTGTTTGGCAACAACGGATATAATCCGCCTTATCGGTTCATCGCATCGGAAACAAAAAAGCGAAAGAATTTGGAACGATGTTTTTACAATTATTTTATTCAGTTGTATACAGTCAGTGTCAGTCGCTAACGCGTAAGTGAATAGTGGTGTTTGTTGCGTGGCTCAAACGAAATCAAAAATGGCACATGTTTATGCGGATCGGTTTCCCAATCGAGTGCAACCAACCCCTCGTGCCTTTGTTAATGTAGTACAAAGGGCTCGTGAATCAGGTGACTTAAGACCTCACAGGGGAGGGCATGCCGGTGCTCCAAGACTGCACGAACAAATACAGGTCCGCACTGAAATACTTGTCGGGAGGATACTTTATAAAACAAGGTAACATTTTTTTTTATTTTTACACACATATTTTGGTTTATCTTCCTTCTACAATCATTATCTGAAAATTAATGACTCAACTTCAAAGTCACCCTGTATAAATATTAAATATATTTATTAAGTATTTGATTTAAAATTACATGATCATTAATAGGAGAAGTACGATTTTCATTTTCTCTACTATTTAGTAGTGGAATATGGTTTTTAGTGACTGCATTCGCACTTGGGCAAGGAAAACGCTAGAAAACTTCAACCGTTACTGCTGGAGCTGAAGAAAAATCAAGTCGTTCCACAATTGTCGCTTCATTTTTACAATCGAAAATCGCCAGCATGCCACAGTTATTAACCTAAAAAAAAAAAATAGCATCGAAGTAACGGTTGATACGAGGGTCATTTTTTAAGTAAGAACCGTTTTGTAATCCAGTTAGAGAAATTTTATTTATGAATGTAAGTTGTATCACATTTTTTAACATAGCCACCATAAACATTCAAACACAAGTCAAGCCGTGGCATCACTTTTTGTGTTAATGTAGCATCTGAAAATTATCCTGCGGCTTTCATGACGACTATTTCCCTCATCTTAATTTCTACCAATTACAAACGCGGAATTTCGAATTACAAATGATTTCTAGATGTAAAAATTGTATGACAGTACCTGTCAACATTTTTTCCAGTTTACCCACGGCAAAATTTTACAGCTGTTGTCACCAAAAATTGCAATACCTTTGATAACAAGTGGCCTCCTAGGACAACAGAGAACGCCGCTAAGCTAAATTTTGTAATATTTTAAACATCAGTCCTAGTTAGCTTATGTAGTGAAAATGTGTCGCTTTGGAAATGATTCTTTGACTAATATTGATCTGGCAATTGAGATATACCTCAGTATATGACTAATCTTTCAGTGTATACAATGTGCGCAATTTATTAAAAAACGTAGGATGTCAACCCTAACACACAACTAGATGAGTATACAAAGCTCACCTGGTTTACCGCGCAGATATCCTGTTTCCCTCAGAAAAGTTGTAGGTAGACCTATTTTCCACTTTGGAGACACTGGACACCCACGTCACAACACTAAAACACCAAAGCAATACTGAGAGACAATCGAGAACCCTATAGTGAACACCACTACTAAAAAAGGTAGCTAAACCGAATAGAGCTCAGCACGGAGCTGTGAACGCCTACACTTTCCGCTGCGCCGACGGTTGCCGAAAAACTGAAGCGAGTGAGTACTACCGTCAACGTAAGCATCGAGTCGCTTCGGGAGCAGACGCGCGGAGTGGGAGCTGGAAAGGGGCGTGACTGTACTACCCGGCCGTACCGTATCGCCGCACGCTTCAGTCTCTCGGCAACCGTCGGCGCAGCGGAATGTCTACGCGTTCACAACTCCGTACAGAGCTCTATTCGGTTTAGATACCTTTTTTTCAGTAGTGGTATTCACTATAGAGTTCTTGATTGTCTCTCAATGGTGTTTCGACGTGGGCGTCAAGTGTCTCCAAAGTGGAAATTAGTCTACTTCCAATTCCTCTGAGGGAAACAGGATATCTGTGCAGGAAACTAGGTGAGCCTTGCATACTCGTCTACTTGTGTGTGAGGGTTGACATCCTGTTTTTTTTACATAAATTGCGCACATAGCATGCACTGAGAAAATAGACATATACGACTACTGAGGTATTTGGTTAACCCTGGAGCGCTTAGGCGAATAGCACGGCTATAGTTGCTTAGGCGGGGTTACCAATAACCCCAGTGATATATTTCTATTTAATGAACAAAATATAAAAGATAGACACTTTTGTTTCAATAATAAAACATTTATTTCAAACACTCGGTACATATTTCAGGTCGATGATTACTGCAAACAGCCTTGAAACATTTCGCACAGGCAGTTTTTGTTTTTCGGTCATTTGTTCTTGGACATAAAATGCAGCGAGTCTGTTCTAGCAATTTTGCTGGAGGTGGATCAACTTTTTCTTCTGTTTTCATATCTAGAATATTCATTATTGATTCTTTCAATTCTCGAGGTATTGATTTTGTCAAACGTCTTTCCATATGAGGCCTGACCAGTTGTAGTCCAAGTTCAAATAGGTATTTTCGACGAACACTTTTTTGTCTATCACGCTTAACAATTTGGAAAATAATGTTGGAGTTAATGCCTGCTTGATCCATTATAGCATAAAAAAAGCGTAATGGCCACCTCCGTGTTTTGCGGGATACCGAATATGTGTGCACCATCTGGTCAAAGGTATCGACACCTCCTTTGGTAGAATTGTAAAAATTTATTATCTCGGGTTTTTTATTTTCATCTATTGTACTACCAGAATGCATTGTCGATAAAAGTAGCACAGATTTAGACTTCTTGGGTGTGAAGGACACCAAGGTTTTTTGGTTGTCGAATCCAAATTGAGAAGACATAATTTCTTTTCGTTTGTTTGGGAGAAATGATGGAGGAACTTCCCCCTTGTTCTTTCTGAGAGTACCCACAATGGTCAAATTGTAGTCAACAAGCATTTTGTCAGCCAGTGGGATGGAAGTAAACCAATTGTCCATCGTCAAATTGCGTCCGGTTCCGTGAATGAGTTCTGTCAGTTTTCTTACGTAATAAGCTGGGAGAGGTTCTTTATCTGGCCTATTGTCTTTGCCGATATATGGAATAGCAGTAACCATATAATATGTGCGTGAATCACACATCGTTACAACTTTGATTCCATATTTGTCAGGTTTTGATGAAATATATACTCTAAAAGGGCAATTGCCTCGAAATCCCAATAACTGTTCGTCGATGGTACAATAACTGTGAGGAGTATAGTATTTTGTACAGTTAGATATAAACATTTTCCATATATCACGTACTGGAGAAAGTTTATCTTCTCGGTCTCTCATGGTTTTGTCGTCAAATCTGAGGCAAGATATCAAAAATCTAAATCTTGTTTCACTCATTACGCATCGATACACTTCTGGTCCATGCTTTGACCACATTTCTGCTGTAGTTAACCTGTCATATAAAGCAGTCCTATCAAAGCCAAGATCTCTTCAACGTCTGTCTCGTTAACAAAGCCACAATTAGCAACATATTTCCCTCTTTGTCGTTCTATTTCCATATTTGTATGCACCACTATAATATCAATAACATTCGCGCTGAAAAACAATGTTTCGCTTAGGTGTTCGAGTACGACATGGAAGCTCAGTGCTCCAAATATGTCCATTTTTTCCTTTTATTACTTTGCCAGGAAGTTGTTGTTCTGTCACTCTCTACTTCACTATCATCCGTTGAGTAGGTGCTCTCCCTGTCGGACTGAATTGAAACATGGTCGTCATAGTCAGTGCCGTCATTATCTGAATCAGGTTCATTGTCGAGTTCTTCATTCCATCGTAACAGAGTTTCTTCAAATTTGGGATCATCTGGTCGGACAGCCATCTAAATAAATTACGTAATCTAGTGTGTGGAATAAAATAAAAATACCAGTTTAAGCTTACCTGGGGTTACTCGTCACTCCAAACACAAAATATCATATAAACTATTGCACTGAACAAAAATGTGCGACCAACAACACACACACACTTTAACCTCAAATGAACATAGCGGGATCTCCGATGTTGCCAATTTATGCACAAAAAATTAGTGAACATTTGAATTTTCTTTGGGGTGATGCGAAACCCCACTAAGCATTATAGGGTTAAAACTAAAATTTGGCCAAATCGTTCTTATGTTTGTGACTTTATTTTAAGAAATGTCAAAAAACTAATGGCACTATTTAGGCACTACATGATGGTGTTTTTAGAAAAGTGCTACACTGTATCTAATAGGAGCATTTTCTACTTCAACGATGTATTAACGTGATAGTTTTTTAGTTATAAACAAACGTGTTTTTCCTACTTTTTCATTATATTTAAGTAGGCGTTGCAAACAAATGCTTGGTGATTAGTGAGTTTAACCTAGTCTGATCCTCATCTTGGCCACCCTGTAAATACATTATGATAGGAAGAAATTTACAGAAACATGCACTAATCTAACGTTCTTGTAAGTATTCTTGTGTACTTACATTCATTTTTGAAAAATCTCAAAACTATTAGCAAGGCCTCGAGGAATTGGTGATAGCAGAGGTAGCAAAATCGTCCGATGATCTGGCAACGCCGCAATCCAGGTGACAAGAATGACAAGATCAACGTCCGATCTTGGCTCAGTTCGCGAGTAGCTCCACTTCAGTTCGGGATGGAAATTTGTTGGAAAACATCGATGTTTGGACATCGACAAACATCGCCATCGTAACATCGATGGAGCTCGATACATCGGAACAAATACATCGATGTATCGAAACAACTCTTCTTTTTAACGTTTTCTGCTCTCAATTGAGCAACGAATTCATGGATTGCTATCGGTTTTATCCGTTGGTGGAATTCCCACCGCGTTTTTTTTCTCGATTTCAGAACCATTCAGTAAGAATAAAAAACGCGACAGCAACTGCACTAAACATCGATGTTCTACGTCCGATTATCGATGTTTTCGATACATCGATGTATCGTTGCCATCCCTAACTTTAATTTGTTTCCTTTTTCCCCAAAAAACCTAATAATGTCATACTTGCGGCAATGCACCGACGATTTTCTCTGGGAATTCATTGAAATGTATAAGTTTTCCGTGTTTGTGGCTAGTAAAAAATAAAGACTATAAATAATGACTGTAATAAAAAAAACGTCGCGTATGAGGATCTTATAAAAAATACAAAGAAATAGACCCTATGGCAAATAAAGTGACTCGGTTTACAAAAAAGACTTGAAAAAACGTAAGGGCATCAGAAATATCTGTTACTAACTCTATATACAGGGTGACTTCGAAGTTGAGTCATTTATTTTAACAGTGAGTAGATCTGATCAAAAGAAATGTTTTTTTCCTTTAAAATTTTTGTGGTGAAATTAAAGTAACAAAGTTATAGCCCTTTAGAAGTTTGAGTACCGCCCTGTCTCGATAATAATATTATGTGCTCGTGTTTGGCAACAACGGATATAATCCGCCTTATCGGTTCATCGCATCGGAAACAAAAAAGCGAAAGAATTTGAAACGCTGATCACGATGTTTTTATTCAGTCTGTGTCAGTCGCTAACGCGTGAGTGAATAGTGGTGTTTGCTGCATGGCTCGAACGAAATAAAAAATGGCACATGTTTATGCGGATCGGTTTCCCAATCGAGTGCAACCAACCCCTCGTGCCTTTGTTAATGTAGTACAACGGGCTCGTGAATCAGGTGACTTAAGACCTCACAGGGACTGTATGCCGGTGCTCCAAGACCTCACGATCAAATACAGGTCCGCACTGAAATACTTGTCGGGAGGATACTTTATAAAACAAGGTAATTTGTTTTTTTTTATTTTTACACACATATTTTGATTTATCTTCCTTCTACAATCATTATCTGAAAATTAATGACTCAACTTCAAAGTATAGCAATTGATAATGGCTTAGGTGTCCATTCGCAAATAATTGCGCCAATCACAAGTTCGCTCCTCAGTTGTTTGAATAACGGAACGTGGAAATACAAGAAGCCATTCCCTTGATCATCTTGTTTTTTCCCTCTTCATCCCTTCTCCTCCTAGTCGTTGTATCCTTATATTTGGAAAAAATAAAAGAAAGCAGCCTTGTTTCCTATATAATAAAAAAATCTCTCAAAAAAATTCACTAACCAAACTTCACATAACTCTAGATTGGAAATGTAGTAGAATGCGGAAGGTAAAACACGTAGTGTGTATACGCTGGCCAAAACGTACGGTTTGTCAATAAGACGTAGCGTGTAAACCCGCCTTAACGGATGCGCCAGGTAGACACAGCCGTATTTTGTTTTTTTGAACGTTACTAACAAAAAAGCGCTACAATCAAGTTTGACTAGATTTACACCAAACATTCAACTAACAAAATGACATGTCGGCGACAGAAAACAAAGATGGCGTCTATGTCAAATTGGCGTTTACTTTCCTGCGTCCCTATTGGACAACCCTTTATCTTTGCTCAGATTTCTGTTGCAATCTTGGTTATTCGGGGTAGCAAGAGCATACAAGCTCATCTATTTTTGAAACTGTTTTTTTATTTAAATTGCACTGAAGGTTGTTTTTAATTTGTAAGTTATATTGGTATTTGAATTTGAATAAACTTTGAAAAAAAAAATCTTGCGTTAGGTGGTTAAAAGTGAGCGTGTAGTTAACTTCAATTTCTGACCAAGTTCGTGTATGCGAGACCAATAAAAAGACCAGTTGTACCTTAAGTGTGGTTTATTTTTTCATATCAGAGTATACTAAAGTAAACATAGATGACTGACCATTATTTGAAAAAAAAGTATGAATTACACTTCAATATTTACATTCGTCACTGAGATCTCTGGAAAAACTTCAGATTATAAATACACAAAACTTATAAAATTGGAACAGATTAAAAACTCGCGCGTAACATGTATACGTCCTCAAACCAGCCGTCTAAAGCGAAATGTCAGTTGAACGTATAAAATTTTGACGTGAAATTAAGATGGAAAATACACTTAAAACTAATACGTGAGTGAGATACTCAAAAACTATTTACAAAAATATATACGATACCTGGGCGGTAAAGTATATTCGTCCAAAGTTGGACAAGCAGTCGTTGCAAAGAATACTTGGTGAATTAAATGTATTTTATTGATCTAAAATGAATCGACTGTAAAAAAATAGACGATTACTTTAACACGTAAAAGATGATTTGTATAAAATTGAAAGTAAAAATTTACTAGTTCGTAAATGTTTTGAGTTTTGGCAACCAAAAATTGCCGTCCGATTAACAGTGGATTTGCAAGCCTGAAAATCTTACAAAACTCAGTATTGTTCCGTGGCGTATGAAGAGATGCCTAAATGCCAGTGCACCATGACTATGAGGATCCCAAAGAAACTTTATACGATTTCTGAACTGCCTAAGATTAGTAGAACTGGGAATAGCCTTCTCTTGTAGATTGTTCCATGGGAGGCGGAAGTAACAAATACTCCCTTTTTATCGGAAACGATCAAAACAGCAGATTAGGAACATCTTTCCTGTTTTTGGTAGGATAGAGTAACTGCCTATTCATATTCAATAAAAAATTATTTTGAAAAAGACTAATTACAGTGTTTGTCATTTTAGATCAACGTTTGTAAACGTGAGCGTTTGGCTTACATCTGAAAATGCACGTACATAGGATGGCTATACACAAATCATAAAAAATCATGCTACTTACAAATTAGTCCTTAGATAAATTCACTAAAAATGCTTTAAAACTATGTACAGGTATCAGAACAAAAATTCACTACGTACCACAATTTTTTGTTTTTAATATACTCGAATATAATCAAGTACTCGTAAACAGTCTCTATATTCTCATTGCACACCTATTTCACACCGAAATGACACTGAATACATCGACAAGTTGGCAAATCTTTAACACAAAACGTTCACTATACAGGATTCGTGTGACAGAGCTGCTTCAAACATTAAGATTATTTTCTATATTCACAGTCTTTATCTTAAAGTCTTACAATAGAAAATGTAATCGTGGTTTGGCAATCTTATCAAATCAAATGGTAGTTCTACCATTTAAAAGAGGCAATGTTTCACTTAATCTGAAAAAAAAGCTACACTGTTTCGAAATGCATCTGTTAATTTGAACAACACCTCTTTGTGTAAAGGGTCGATATATAAAATCTGACGTTAAACTGTTTATAAACAGGATTATGCAACGCTGACGCTAGACTTGACGAAGTTTTAGTTTCTGCAGTTTCCGTTTCAGGTTCAACCATCAGAGGGAGCCGGCAAATCACGGGTTTGTTGCGAAAGATCGGTTGGTTTTTTCACGTGCTTTTCGCTCTGTTTGACATGACATATGTTTTGTTTTGCTCGGCGTCACCTGAAATTGTTTTTCTGTATTTTATTGAGTTTATCAAGTTTATCAGAAGCGGGTTGGTCTCCAAATATCTGAAAAAGCAAGTTTATACATTGATTTTAACTGCCAGTGGTGCGTCAACGTCAGAGTTTATAAGTCGACCTCAAATTCCAAATACAGTTTTTCAACGTTTCATTAACTCGGTTTGCAAATTTTTAAAAATGACTAAATACATGTTTTCTTTTCTCCTCATGTAACAAAATTTATAGTAGGTACAACTTTTCAAAACATTGAACCGATGAAAACAGCACTGGAACTGTATGCTAAATCGCATTGTCAGCCGGGTCACCACTGTTGGCCTCTAGAATGCCGTCCTACATAGTTCTTCCTGTTCTTCAGAAAGGCAAGGGTGTTTCTAGATTTCAGCTGTATCGTGCGCTCCTTTTTAAGGTTATTTTCTTTTTGAATTTTAAGATATTTCAGGCTGATTTCTATCATCTGTTTTATCAGCTTGAAATTTCTTAAGATTCAAAAAGGAAACATAACCTCACGATAGGAGAGCGCTGACGTTGACACGGAACAGTAGAAATCTAGAAGAACCCCAGCCTTCCTAAAGGAAAGCCATTTTTTATTGGGACTTTTTACTTGATTGAAATTATAAATATTTAGTTTAATTAGACTGTAGAAAAACAGGTTTCCTTGAGAAACATGTTGTAGAATAAAGTCGTAAGGTTTGAAAAGATCCATCCATTGATGACATTGACTATGACCTTCAAGGTCAATTGAAGGTCAAGACAGTTTTCTCAAATTAAATATTTTTAAAGTTGGAAGCTTGTGTAATGTTTGAAAAGGTTCATCTAATAGTGACCTTGAACGTTGATTATGACAATCAAGGTTATTTGAAGGTCAGGACAGTTCTCTCAAATGGAACCCCTATTTATGAACGTGGAAATGAAAAGAATAGGAAATTTCATGTTAAAGCATATTTTGCCTATGACCTTGACTATGACCCTCGTAGGTCATTTGAGGGTGTCTAGAAAGTCGGGAAAGGACAAAATATCTCGAAAAATACGTTTCGTAAAGGAAATTGTTACGTAAGGTTTGAAAAGATTCATTTAATGGTGACCTTGGACGCCACCTTGATTATGACCTTCAAGGTAATTTGAAGGTCAAGAAAATTCTCTCAAATGAAACCCCCTATTTTTTAAACCGGAAATGTGGAGAGCGTTAAAGTATGTATTTGCCTATGACCTTGACCATGACCTTCATGGGTATATGAGGGTGTCCAGAAAGTCGGGAAAGGATAAAATATCTCGAAAAATACGTTTCATGAAGAAAAATGTTGTGTAAGCTTTGGAAAGATACATCTATTTATTATGACCTTCAAGCTCATTTGAAGGTCAAGACAGTTTTCTCAAATGGAACCGCCTATTATTTACACCGGGAATAAAAAGAGCAAGAAACTATGACCTTCAAGGTCATGTCAATTCAATCACAAATATTTGTACTGCTTCTACATTTTCAGAAAGCTGCACCTATCAAAAAGCACTTTACTCTTACCTCAATGTTTTTAGCCATTAAAAAAAATATATTCTAAAATTACTAGTTTCTTATCACAGCACTGTTTTTGTTTTAATAGTTTTTGATGTTTGTTATTGGTTCAGGAAAGTAAAAATGTAATATGACAGCGATACCGTTGAAAAACTGTCATGGCCATTACACGACTGAATAATTTATTCTGAAATGAATAAGTACCAAGTAGACGAACTTAAGTAAAACAGTCAATTTCATTACACTTACTAACCGTTTTGCTATGCGCAAACGAAATAATTGTAACAAATATCACTGAGACAGAATCTGCCAGTCTTATACAACTAAATTCACTAACGTCACTAAACTAACAAAGGCAGTGATATCTGTACACCATATCTACAGTGTGATCCATCGTTTTCAATTATAACCAAAATACAAATATACATAATAGAAGAGAGGCAGAGATAAAAATACTTATGTTGAAAAATACAATTTAGATGGCAGCAACTTTTATTGTCAAACACAAAAAGTTTCATGCTCTAAGCACAATGAAAACGCTGGCGAAATTCAGCTTCAATAGTTTTGGAAAAGTAACAGCGAACCAGCTATTGCAACACTCCTTGATACATACATAAATGCACGTAGTAGCAATTTTGTGTTTGACAGCAACTGCTGCAAATTTTTACGTAATAACGTGCTGGACTTGGCTCCAGAAATTAAAATCCATATGGTTTATGCCTTGACCCGTACCATTGCTAGAAGAAAAAGTGCATTTCAAATAACATTTTGTGACTGGTGAAATGTGAGGGTTTTGGCTATAAAAAAAAATATGGATCACTAATTGGCAGATCTACTTGGTAAGGTAATATTAATGTAAAATCACACTCTGAGCGACTAAATATACACATAGACACACACTATATTGTTGAACAGCAGCGCGATTGCTTCAATCAACGTCACTTTTGTCTTTGTGGTATGCCACGACGCCATATTCGTTTGCAAAGGAACCAGTCCCTTCCGTGTTAAATTTTCAATCAGAAAGGATATGAACTGGCATTCATAAACCCATATTTTCGAAAACACTAAAACAATATTAATATCAATCCGCGAAAAACCCAAATGAGAATATTGAAAACACCAAACAGCACCGGACAAAAGGCGTCTATTTTATGCACGAATAATGTATTTTAACACATTTAAAAGTTTTTAAGATAACTTTAGTGCGACATTTTACGAAGATCCCGACACTACATAAAACAAAAATCTTTAGGATGTCTTCTAGAAGAGAAGTGGTTTTTAGAATTCAGCTTTTTAGAAAGTTAAAGATGTTAGTGAACATTGAGAAATTCAATTAAAAATTAAAGTTTACCCAACCACGATTGAAAATATGTCCAATTTATTTTGAATATTTTTTTTGAGATCTATATATTTTTAATGCAATTTCATTAGAACAAATCGTTGAAGTTTTCAGATATCTGTATTTTGTTAAACACCTTTTTTTTAAATAATTTATCCGTCAAGATTTATCGTTAACATTCTATTTTAACCCATTAAGTGTTCATTGAGTGACAATTGAGTTAATATTGCGAGATCGTATCTAAGAAAATTGTACGTTTTGTGAATGCTTTCATATCCATTTTCATTTTTTTACCCGTATCTCTCCGGCAAAAAATACTTGACTTTCACCAGTATGTTATACTATGGCAAGTAGATGCAACGCACTGATTGTAAATATGAAACGTCCAAAATTGTTTTGAGCATTGGTATTTCATTACAATGGACGTTACTTTAAAATTTCACCATTTAATTATAGAGATCAACTTCTTAAATGGCATCGCTGGCATACCACTTAATGTACAAAAGATATCCTTCTTCCGGCATTGGATTGCACGGTATCCCTGATTGGTGATTTTTGGTAAATAAAAGGTCTCTTTATGATGGTTTCATTTAGTTGATGATCAACTTGGAAGCAATGTTGGATTGATGGAGTGTGGTTTTATAATTTTGTCCCATTTTAATCTCCCCTTCGAAATATTCATTGAAAAAAAAAAATTCAGAAACTTTAGGGTTTAGAGGGAGCAAAATGAATATTACCTTGACAATTACTTTAAAGACGCCATTCAAGGTCATTGTAAAAGTGAATATTTTCATATAGAACCGCCCTTTTCCACATCGGAATTGAAGAGGGACAAATATTGCATCCGAACTTCATCTTGACAATGACCTTGATCATTGCCTTCAAGGTCAAATTAAGACAATTTACTGCAGCAAAAATGTTTGACAGCAGAGCTGTGAGGTATGTGGGGATTACACAAAGGTGGCCTTGACCACGACTGACTTTCAAGGTCAAGTCAACATTTTCAAACGAAACTCCCCATTTTTGTATTAAAAATGGAAATAACTGAATTTTACCTCCGAATAACATTTAAGCGCGACACGACCTTGACTTTAAAGTTAAGGTCACGTTCGTACGTAAAGTTTCATGTTTTTTCCGCTTCCAGTATAAAAATAAGAGGTTTCGTTTAGAAATTTTGACTTGACCTTGAAGGTCATGGTCAAAGTCACGTTTTAATGATCCCCAAAACTGTGTAGACGAAATTTTTTTAGAGCAAATTGTTTACGATTCCCTGGTTTGACCTTGAAGACAGTAGTCAAGGTCATGACCTTGACTTTCAAGGTCAAGTCATATTTTCAAAGGAAACTCATTTTTATATTAAAAACGGAAATAACTAAAATTTACGTCCGAATAACATTTAAGAGTGATACGACCTTAACTTTGAAGTTAAGGTCACGTTCGTACGTAAAGCTTCCTGTTTTTCCGCTTCCAGTATAAAAATAAGAGGTTTCGTTTAGAAATTTTAACTTGACCTTGAAGGTCATGGTCAAAGTCACGTTTTGACGATCCCCACAACTGTGTAGCCGAAATTTTTTTAGATCAAATTGTTTATGATGCCCTGTTTTGATCTTGAATACAGTAGTCAAGGTCATGACCTTGACTTTCAAGGTCAAGTCATATTTTCAAAGGAAACTCACTTTTATATTAAAAACGGAAATAACTAAAATTTACGTCCGAATAACATTTAAGAGTGATACGACCTTGACTTTAAAGTCAAGGTCACATTCGTACGTAAGATTTATGTTATTTTTTCGCTTCCAATATAAAAGTGAGTGGTTTCGTTTAGAAAGTTTGACTTGATCTTGAAGGTCATCGTCAAGGTCACGTTTCGATGATCCCCACAAACCTTACAACTGTGTTGGCGAACATTTTTAGAGCAAATTGTTTACGATGCCTTGATTTGAAAAGAAGGCAATAGTCAAGGTCATGGCCAAGGTGATGTTCTCGATGTGAAAAAGGAGGAATTCCATTTGAAATTATTCGCCTGAAAGGATATCACCTCATACGTCGTTGTGAAGGTCATTGTCAAGGTCACCGTCATTTTGCCTGCTCAGAACCCTAAAACTTTCGTTTGAAACTTTTTTCTATAACGTGCCTTGTATATCAGAACTAAATTATGGAATCAATAATGGTTTATTGGTAAAGTTTCTTAGAATAAAATGACCTCATATTCGGAAAACACGGAAAATGCTTCGTTCTAAGTTATAACAAATACCACAAAGTCTCAACAATTCAGGCTTGCAGTCATATGGTTTTTTCTCGAGTTTTGGCAACATACAAATCTAATTTATCAATTTAAGATTCGCTATTCCGTAAAATATGATGAAATGAATCTTTTGAACCTCATTCTGTGGTTGCCTCTTTGATTTATTTCATGCTGTTGTGGCCGATGAAAAAATCCACAGACATTAAGGAAATTATAATTGATTTTATTAGCTTTTGCGGTCGTGGAGTAATAAGGAGATGAACATTTATTTATCAGGCTTTAGACGGAAAGCAGAATTTATAATCTTGGTTTTCAAGTTGTTTCTCAATACAGGCATTTTGAAAAACTGTTAAGTCATGCACAGTTCCGAATATTTAAGAAATGCATTTTCAGATTGACATCCTTTTATGAGATATTTGCAGGGAAACGTTTCGTGACGTTCAACCGCTACAATTGTTTGAAGAAAAGCAAACATATTGAACTGATAGATATCAGAAGTGGGATCGATCACAACTAAATTTTCGCTAGCCTTCGAATAATCATCAACTAAATTCAACCACGATTGGAAACGTTGTCCAGCATCGCCCAATCTCTAAAGAGCCCCCGCTACGAAAGCTACCAGCGAAACGACTGTAACCAGGGGCGCGGGTTATCTGCGGGCCACCGATCTTGGAGCTCCTGCCTCCCATTGGTGCGGTGAAGGTGGCAACTCTGACGGATGTGCCACTGTCGAACTGCAACAAACATATTCGGGAACATGGTTAATGAGACTTGGCGCGATATGTGGGGATGTGAGTGTGATTAAGATATATACACTGTACAACGTTGTGTAGGTGAGAAGAATTTCTTAGATAGCTGGCGTGTGAAATAATGACATGGAATGTAACATATAAAATCAGCGCGTTCAGTTAACGTGCAGCGATTTTATATCGAATAGCAGTAGCAAAGAAATAATTGTTAATTTTCGCAACGTTTAATCAACAAACTATCATATCTGACAGCCAACTGGAAGCAACCGTCAAGCAGATTGATGTTGTTTATATGGACATGGAAAATGCATTTGACAGAACAGATTTGGGCATCCTCTTAAAAAACTGCGTTTCTTTGAGTTCTTTGATATCTCGTATCATTATTTAACCCTTATCTTTTCAATAGGAAACAATATAAATGTTCCGTTCACCGCTTATAAGGCCTACTTCAGAAATTCCCCAAGGCTCAAGTGTAGGGCCTTTACTCTTTCTGTTATACATAAACGATCTAACTCTTCGCCTGAGTAAAAACTATGAATGGCTGACTTGGCTTGCAACAACATTTAATGACGATATCTTCATGGTCCCAAGCCAATCATCTCAACTTGAACGCTGACAAGTGCTTCGTTGTATAAGATAATATTTTAATTACCTTGGTAACGATAGTCTTAAGCATCAAGATGATTTAAGAATTCTCTTCGATCAAAAAATGATTTCTATATATTGGAAAACGCTAGACAGTTCTCTCATTTTAAGAAAACGGGAATTTTTCCAGGGTGAGTATTTGATTACTATCTGCTGCTTAATGAAGCAAAATTTGTTTCTCTAAAGTCAAGGCGCATTTTTACAACAACAGGCTTCTTGTATAAACTGTTTCATGGGAATATATGTGAATTTTTGTTAGGTAAAATTCCCTTTACAGTGTTCCAGCGTAACGATAAAAAAGTGTTTTATTGTGAATGTGCTTGAACCAATATTTTGACCAAATCACCAGTTTCAATCATTTGTAAGAATTTCAACTTCTTCAACATCTGTAACATTAATTTCTTCCTCTCTCGCTTATTTACAAATTAATTATAATATAATATGTGATTTGCAAACATATAACTTTTTAGACAATTTTTTTGTTATCCTATTGTTTATTTTTAAATAAAATTAATTGTTTTTTCTTCGTATGTTCGATTAGTTTTAAGCAGTTTCTGTTATCGGATGTATACGCGCCTGTTGGAAATAAATGTCTACCTATCTGTTGACCATCAGGAGCATGCATACATTTTTAGACGACTGTTCACAAAGCAAGTGGAGCAGTTTGAAGTTGTTTACTATACAGGGTGTTTCATTTTGAGAGGGAGATGTTTCAACCGAGGAAAGAGGCAACTAAGGTATCCACTTATAACTGAGCTACAGGGAATTTTATCGATTTTGGCCATTTCTTTATGGCTATCAAGTTTTTTACCACCTGTTGTCTTTTTCTGAAGCTTAGTATGCGTACGCAGAATATGCTATCGAATAGGAACAGGAAAAGAAGTACAGATTCCGACTAGACAAAATTTAACAAAATAGTTTTAGCCAAAATAACACCCTGTACATTGGAATTTTACTTTTGGGTACACAGAGAAAAACAACTTCTTTATATTCTGTGCCCCCGTTGACAGTCTGTTACGTTTTGTGAAAACTGCTCGTAAATTACGATCGTGAGCATTGTAATCATAGTCAGATGCGAGGATAAAAATGTTAAAGAAATTCTTATCACCTACACAATAAGAAATCGTATAATAAACTGCAACATTTTCTAGTTTTTTTTGTCAAATTCGGCAAGAACTATAGTTCAAAAATGGAGTGTTTAAAAAATCATTCTGAACAAATATGCTTGAAAGTTATAAATAATGAAATAACGCAATCATTTCTCATTTCCATAAGTACTATTGGCAATGATGATGTTTCCAATTATTATTATAAATATAGCAAAATTATCAAAGTCTTCCACCTGGAATCAACAACAGGAAATATGAATGTCTGCGCCGTAGTTTTTCACTGACCCACAGGTCTCATTGCATTGGGTACATTACCCTTTAGGAATTGAAAAACAAGTACGACCCCGAAATGTGTTCATTTGAACACTAGAGCACTAACACTACGTTTATAAATTCCGCGCCACATGAACGTTTCCGACTAAATATTTATGCACATCCCATTTTTATATAATTATTTGTGTTATGTTCCAACCGTAAGCACTGCGTGTTTATACTAACCGAATGTCAATAGCTGGACGGTTCATGACTGAATATTTATGCAGTTATAATTATTTTGTCTCATATTTACAAACTGATCATTATCAAGCGCAGTGCCATATTCATAAGATTTCTCGACCTAGGAGGTAAATGAAAACAATAAACATCTATGTAAATAATATTGACGCAGTTCGACAACTGAAATTTATACTTCGAAATATTTTAGAACAATTGATGAATAAGTAATGTAAGTATGGCTCCTCATGTAGTGCTTCTTTAATACCCCAATAATCAGCATAATGTTGGAAAATGGCCCTGACTGTTTCAATAGATGGAAAACATTTGTACGTTTCTTCATTTGGATGGAGCATTTCAAAACAAATCGGCTGTCATTGCATTCATTGAATTTTTCACTTTGATACCAGCCAACCAGATACTTTAAGGTGTTTGTAAAATGGGTTGCACCAGCTGTCGACCAACTTTCAGGATCAACTGTTAGATGGAAATTTAACCCTCCTCACGTCACGGCCCTTTTGTTCTCTCAAGCTGCCTTGGTTCCCCATGTGAAACAAACCGGATTGGCATCGCTTTTAAGTTGCACCACGTCGTCTCTTAGGCACACACCACGGTACCACCGCACATTGTTCTCTCTCAAGTCTTTTACTAAACAAACTCCTCTTTGGAATTATTATTATATGGGCATGTATTCCAACACTTTTCGTACCCGTTTTTCAATTTTTAAGGATAGACAACGATTTTCTTCAACCCCTGAAGACAAACTTTGCAATTTTTAGATTTAAAAGAAACTACTCTTACGTAAACATTCGCCTTACCGGAAGCAGATTCCAGGTCGAGGTCATATTTTCATATCCGACAACTCTGTTAACGTAGATAAAAATAAAAAAACAAAGCACTAACCTAAAAAACAAGTGCAGTCACGCAGCACAGAGAAAGATGACGGGTGATAACAGAATTTCTAGGGTCTTCTTGAAAGGGGCACAGCCTTTATCCTTCCTGTATAACAACCATCATCTTACTTGAGCCGATCATTATTAAAATCAAGCAAACAATGTTGTTAACTTTTCTGTGCACATGTCAATCAATGAAGTGAGTCAATGGCAGATCTGGCAAAGCGCAATTATGTTGGTGATTACTCTATCTTATATGAAACAATTATTAATATGCCTCCTCTTTTTTCAAACTACAACCTGATTTTCTACCGACTTCCTTATTGGTTAATTTTCGAAAAAAAAACAGTTAAATGGATTGGTCACATAAAATTAAAGTTTGCAGTTTCTATTAACAGACTAGTATGTTATTAGCTACAAAAAAAAATAATAACTATTTGGTATAGTGGTATTTAATAGTACTAATCATTCTTTAACAATTATACAAAAGAATAACTGATTATGCAAAAATATCTTTCACTTCATTATATCTTCAAGAATGTGGGAATTTTCAGAAATCTGTATCGATATCATAAATACTGAGAGAATTTACGATAGGAATAATATTTTACCATATTTATATCGGTATGATAGATTGCGCACAAGTTCGCTGAAAAAAAAACGAAGATGATGATCGGTTCTGGAAAGTAAGATCAAAAATATGTTAAGGAAGACTGACGTTATTGTACCTAGTAAATGAATGAATGATACTAAAATGATTAAATGTTCCTTATGTACAAGAAAAGTTAACATGTATAAATTATGTACCAGTATGTACAGAACAATTGACTTCCATGCATTATCAACTTCAAAGAAATCAACTGAAGATCTCATAATATCGCAAATAATATGAAACTATCACTTAACAAAATTCGATAAACTGTAAAAGGTGGAGAAGGATGAATCAATGAGCGGGTCGGGTATATGAAAAAGAAAAATAGGTTAATCATGAATTTAGAAATAGCATTTTCTATGATAAATTCTCGAGAAAGTGATCATCGAATAAATGTGATCAAACAGATCATCTTGTGAGAGAATTGAATATCCAAGGATCAAAAAGCATTAATGGACACGATGTTACGTCTAGTGAAATAAATTGGGGTTCATAACCTTGCATATACGGCGCAAATTATTATTACTGATTTGTAATGCATTATTTTAGGAACATGACAAATAAGACACTGTGGGATATTTTATAGGTTTTATTAGCCTTATTTGGGTTTTACAAGAAACTGTTCCAAAAACGTTTTGATTGTGCGAAGTATGCGTATGTTGATTTCTCAGTATTGCGATTGGCTACTCGGCTCAGAAGTGGGATAGTACCCCGAAGAAATCCGAATAAACGTATATTAAACTTTCACGTTAAATTGCAGAAAAAAAGAGTTACAAAATGCTATTACCAATCACACCTATTTTTCAAAATATTATGAGATCTTGCGAATAAGCTAGGAAAACTAAAACTACAACTACTGGGATGGTCTAACTACTGAGGGAGGTAAAACGCACGCGCCAGCATGGAAATCATTTTCAATTATTTTTTTTTGTAATGGGTGAGTAATGTTAAGAAAGTGTGTATGAATATTTATTGTACAATATACAGTGCTTTTAAAAAGACCCCCTACCCCCACCGCTTTATTTTTTGAATGAGGCAAGTTAGCAAGATGAAATTTATGTATGAATAATATATTTCAGCCTAAAATTGATAGTTGAAAAAGATCGCGATAGCCACCTTAGTACATTTTTTGAAGTGGAATGGTAAGGTTCGTTACGAATATTTTAAACTCGTGGAACATACATCATGACGGACTAGCAGGCTCTCAAAGTTTTGCTTTTTTCAAAAGGGTTTCTCTAAATCCGAATGATCTATATTTTATTATAAATTAAGATGGCTTCTTCTAGAAAAGGCAGATTTGATTTGGTTGTTCAGGACGATTGAAAGTACAACAACTGTCCAATTTGTCAATTTGAAAGAGTAAAGTTATAAGGTTCTCTCGAGTAGCTTCAAAGTGACGTATCACATGACCTCTCGTTCTGTTTAAAGAAAAAATGTTTCGATATAGCGCTCATCGGCCATTTTGAAAGCTTAACGAATTCCAGTTCGCTAGCTTGACTCGTTCAAAAAATAAGTAGGGGGGACCTTTTTGAAAAGCACCGAACAAACACTTGATGCCTTTTTGTCGACGCCGAAAGATATTTGACATTGACAAAATGACACATATATAGGCTAGAAACATATTTACGGATGCGCAGCCGTTTCGTGACGCCTAACAGTAACTGGATGAACACAACAGCTGTCATGCTGCAGAACGCAAGTAGTCGAAAAGAAAAAAATATCCTTCTGAAAAATCAAAAAAAAAAGTTCACATCAAGCGAACAAAAATATTTACTTATACTTGTAGGTAGTGAGCTTCTTCAAGTATCAAATTATTCTAGGAAGAATCGACATCGGAAGTCACCATTTATATTTTCCATCATTATTTGTAGATTTGTGCGTTCTAAAGTACCAGGCCCAAAGCATATGGAATTTGATCGCAGGTCAATTTTAATGATAATTCGTATATTGATGTTGTGATGATGTTCCAATGGGCGCAAAGCGCAGAAATGTTTTTTTTTATTCGAGATGAAGTGTGTTAATGATTGGTACCTTGGCCCTTGTAAACTTGACGATATATTAAAATCAAAGGAACACGTACAATAAATATATACAGAATGTCCCAACGCAAATAAAAAAAAAACAAGATATGCGTAGCAATATTGTTCACCAATGTGTATTTCTAAATTATAAACCAATAACGATCAAAACCACTATATCAATCTTTTTGTTTTCGAAAGGTCTTCCTGAATATCTAATAATGATGATATAGAGCGTTCCATTATAAAAAACATGTTTGTTGTGCCACGGAATTGTGCAGCATCCTGAATATTTTCAAATAATTTATAGATACACATCTATAAGATAATTTTACTGTTTTTGAAGATCTTATATAGCTTTTCTATCAAACAACTTTGTTTTTGTAAAATGGTGCGGTGCGATCTAGGCTAACTTTAACACCTCATTCGTATCTCAAACAAAGCGTTTCTGGCTTTGTGCCCACTGGAACATTTGATCTGCACAACATGTACTATCACTATACGAATTTTCTTTATAATTGACCAGTGGTCAAATTTCAAACGTTTTGTGCGTGGTACTTTAATTTCCTCACAAAATACGTTAACTTTAATGCAGAACACTAGTAGTCAAATATGTCACTAAGCTTTCAAAATTCAATGTTATTTGGTCGGTTTTTGGGTAGCAAAATATTTTTATTTGACGACGGCCTAACTATCCAAAAAACCGACCAAATATCATTGGATGATGGCCGCGAAAGCCTTTCGCATTTCTTTCGAAATTCGATGACTATAATAATACCTGCAATAGCATCCTGCGCAAAGGTTTAGCGTTGCATGAGAACTGTTGAAACATTTCGAACTTTTCAAAAGATTGAAAGTTAGATGTGACAGCCGCTTCCAAGTACTGTTCAGAAATCACATCGGGTGGTGCACGATCCTTTCCAATCGACATGGATCCAGCCTATCAGTCTGATATATGATAATCGCAGCGGGGCACACTCGGAATTTCTTCGAGCAACAGCAATTTCCATAAAAATTTGGAAATATTTAGAGAAAAAAAGATATTGACTTTGCACAATTTTTAAATAAAATTGTTTAAAAAATTTTTGACGCAAATCTGGGCATGGCAATGAATGAAATTATGCAAAAAATCCGAATCAGAATATCTTTCAGAAGAGATTGATTAACAGTCAAGGTCTAAGCACTTGGATCACGCAGAACGCGCGGTGTAAAAAACTGTTGAGCCATCTCTTACCTAATGCACGGTGTAGCACTGTCTTTTGGTTAGCTACCCACAGAGTTAACCATGGCCAATGATTTCAAGGAATTTTTTATATCGCAGCAACATAAGTTTTTCAAAATGACCTTTTTTATTTGACGGACCTAAATCTTAAACTCACAACACTAAAAATAATGACGTACCGATTCGCCATACACAGACCAGAAATCGAAACGGTCGACAGCGATCAACCAATTAATATCCAAATACTTTTGAGGCAATGTGAGTAATTGATCGCCTAACTAAATATTCCCAAAAGTTCCATGACCATTGACGTTGCTCGAAGGAGTTCATCAGGCTTATTACATAATTTGCAACTCGTAAAAGTTGCACAACAATCGATGTCAAATGCTTCTAAAGATGGTGCTTTCTTTTATTCATGGTTCATCAAAGTACCTTCATTCGTTGCTGGATTCCAGTAGAGAGCATTTTGAAAATATTAACGTTAAAATGCAGTGTCATTTTCACTCAATTTCGACTGGGAAACAAACCCCAATTACTACTTAAATAATTACGTTCTTATATCTTTAACTTCATCTTGTTATAATAGTAAATGAATGTTGGACAATAAAATATGCAGTCGAAAAAACAACAACTTGAGAGAAAGGAAAAACGGAGGCCAGTCAGATTTTTCCAAATTTGTATTCATTTTTTCGAAAATTCCCAATGTTTCCCCTACTTTTAAATCCAAATATCGAAGTTTCCAAATTCTTTCAAAAATTCCGAATTTTCCCATGATTCAAGATTTCAAATCCGATTCCTTATCCAAATTAAAAATTCAGTTTTAAAAATTACCAATTTTTCCACAAATTCTCAACCCACTTTTTTACAAATTGTTCAAAATTTTCAAATCTACATTTCAATTCACATTTTTAAAATCCCAAATTTCTTAAATTTTGGAATTGCTTAAGTTTCTTAAAACTTCCAAATCTTCAAATTATTTTCCAAATTTCCGAATTTTCCAAAATTTCAAATTTGATCTTTTTTCCAAATTCAAAATTAGACATTTCTTTTAGATTCCCAATTTTTCCCCATTGTAGAATCCAAATTTCTTTCCAAATTTCAAAATTTGACTCTTTCAAAATTTCCTTTTTCAAATATCGAAGTTTCCAATATTTTTTCAAAATTCTCAATTTTTCTTCAATTTTTTCCTAATTTAAAATAGTTTTTTTTACAGAAATCCCTATTGTTCCAAATTTTCTAATCTACATTTCTTTCCAAATTTTCTAAAATTTCGGAATTGCCGAAATTTTCAAATCTTCAAACTATTTATCAAAGTTCGAAGTTTGAACTGACGTGTACTGTCAAGATTTCACTTATCCAAATTTAAAATTCAGTTTTTGTTTTCAAAATTCCCAATTTTTCCACAAATTCAACCCACTTTTTTACAAATTGTTCAAAATTTTCAAATCTACATTTCATTCCACTTTTTTAAATTCCCAAATTTCTTAAATTTTGGAATTGCTTAAGTTTTTTAAAACTTCAAAATCTTCAAATTATTTTCCAAATTTCCGAATTTTCCAATTATTTTCCAAATTTTCAAATTTGAACTTTTTTCCAAATTCAAAATTAGACATTTCTTTTAAATTCCCAATTTTTCCCCATTGTAGAATCCAAATTTCAAAATTTGAATCTTTCAAAATTTCCTTTTTCAAATATCGAAGTTTCCAATATTTTTTCAAAATTCTCAATTTTTCTTCAATTTTTTCCTAATTTAAAATAGTTTTTTTATAGAAATCTCTATTGTTCCAAATTTTCTAATCTACATTTCTTTCCAAATTTTCTAAAATTTCGGAATTGCCGAAATTTCCAAATCTTCAAACTATTTATCGAAGTTCGAAGTTTGAACTGACGTGTACTGTCAAGATTTCAAATCCGATTCCTTATCCAAATTTAAAATTCAGTTTTTGTTTTCAAAATTCCCAATTTTTCCACAAATTCAACCCACTTTTTTACAAATTGTTCAAAATTTTCAAATCTACATTTCATTCCACATTTTTAAAATCCCAAATTTCTTAAATTTTGGAATTGCTTAAGTTTTTTAAAACTTCCAAATCTTCAAATTATTTTCCAAATTTCCGATTTTTCCAATTATTTTCCAAATTTTCAAATTTGAACTTTTTTCCAAATTCAAAATTAGACATTTCTTTTAAATTCCCCATTTTTCCCCATTGTAGAATCCAAATTTCAAAATTCCCTTTTTCAAATACCGAAGTTTCCAATATTTTTTCAAAATTCTCAATTTTTCTCCAATTTTTTCCTAATTTAAAATAGGTTTTTTACAGAAATCCCTATTGTTCCAAATTTTCTGATCTACATTTCTTTCCAAATTTTCTAAAATTTCCGAATTGCCCAAATTTCCAAATCTTCAAACTATTTATCAAAGTTCGAAGTTTTTTCCAAATTTCATTCCAAATTTCAAAATTTTCAATTTTCTTCAAAATTTCCGCATCCTCAAATTATTTTCCAAATTTCAAAATTTTCCCATTATTATCCAAAATTTCAAATCCCACTTTCTCTACAAATTTAAACTTCACCTTTTTTCAAAATTCCATATTTTTTACAACTTTTCAACCTAATCTCTTTCCAAATTTAAAATACAATTTTTTTCGAAATTCCAACCAATTAGTCTACAGCACCAGATGCCAATCAACTTCTAGAATCGTCTGTTAGATGCAAAATCAATCCTAGCTACGCAACTGTTCCTTTGTTCTTCCAAACTGCCTTGGTGCTCCATCTGGTGGCGTTCAAGTGACACAGCTAGATTGGCAAGGTATCTCCAATCGCTTTCCAGTTGCACCACGTCGTCTCGTAGGCACACACCACGGCACCACCGTGTATACGATTTTTCGGATGAGTGTCGTCATAAACAAAGAACAAACCATTTTCTGGCCCTTTGATATTCGACTACGTGTTATGTTGTAACCTCAAGAGTTTCCCATTTTGGATCGGCCAAGACTACCCTCCTCCTTTCTATAGTGAAAACTCGATTCTGTTCTATTTCATTAGCCACCGTTGTAGAACTAGTTATTTTTTAGAGACTGGTGCGAAAACTGCAAAATACCTAATATTTAGGTTAGAATTTGACGTTTACCGCCAAAAGTGACAGCAGCATAGCATTTGACAGCAACTATGGTACAACTTGTACGAGTCGATAGTTAATAAGTCTTCCGAGTTGGGCCGCATCATATACCAGACTATCCAGTGTGTTGCTGCAGGTACGTAAAAAGATATACAATATAAATAATCGGTTGAAGAGATTATTATTGAGTGAGTGGTCACCTATGCAATGGCGCTGCGCTGGTCTTGCGGCTGCTTTTCGCCGGCGGAATGGCGGGCGGATGGTGGGTGTGTGATGCACGCTCTTACCTGGCGAAACTCTTGAACGCCGCGCTCTGAGGGTTGATGCACAACGGCACGCGACTTGTGTTCAGTTGCTCCGCTATGAACTTATGCATCTCCTCTGCAACATAAAGAAACGGCTATTCAGGTGGCACGTCCCTTTTTTATTATAAATCCTTATCATCTGATAATTTCATGGTGTGTATAGAGATGACTGAAAAACAATGTTTTCTTTTTTCTTCCATCGGAACTCGTCAACAAATGAAAATACAGCTATGAAATTGTGTGTGGATATTCCTCTTTCATGGAGGAATGAAACGAGTGATTACTGTTGTTCTTATCACTTTTTCTTTTCGAAAAATGTTTGATTTTCTTGAAGCCTCGTCTCGCAGCAAGCTGGGTTTTCAAGAAAGGCAAAGATTTTTCAAAAAGGAAAAGCCATAAGAACAAAAGTAATCACTCGTTTCATTCTTCCATAAAAGAGGAATATTCGCACATAATTTCACAGCTGTACTTATATTTGTTAACAAGTTCCGATGGAAGAAAAAATAAAACATTGTTTCTCTATAGACAACATGAATTTATCAGATGAAAAGTATTTAGAATACTGCTGCTAACAGGAAAAAAAATCTAAAAAAGGGACGTGCCACCTTAAAACAATATTTAACACCAAAATTATGATGCAAACTACCCAAAATAGACGACACACAAACCTAAAGGTTATCGGTCTCTTGAACGTATCTAGTACTTTTGTGTTGACAAAAATGTTTGGAATCATAATAAGCATATAAAAAATTGGGAAGACTCATCCAGATTGCTTCAAAAGGACCTGATATTGCTAAAGCAGTTTTCAGTGAGGCCCTGAACAAGGTTAATATAATTAATTGCATACATTCTGAAGCTCATCTTGTTTTGTGTTTATGACAGCTTATGTCACTGTCAAGACATTGCGGTTTGACCACAACTTTACAATTATCTCATACTGGTCGACGTTGACTACCACTTTAGGACAAACTTGATATTGAAAAACTTTGTTTGAAGGTTAGCAGACAAGTTCCAGTTCACTCACTAACAGTACCTGTCAACGTCAACAGATAGGATTATTAGCAATTTGATAATGCATATCTGATTTACCTTTGACCTGTTGTATTGAAGTGAGTTTCTTCTCCCAGTGGTCGTCAAATGGATGTGGTGCTGTCGTTTCGAACTCTGACGTGTACTGTCTCATACCGCTGGCTGTCGTATAGCAGCATTTGCACATGCACGAGTGGTACCGTAACCTACCTTCGTCTAAGTAGGGATGGGCTAAGGCATCGGTTACTGATATCCGTTTGTCCTGAAAGGAAGGAATTTCGTTATTATTAAATCATTGTTCCGGTTTGAAAATTTGGAAGATAATTTCAAGATTTGGAAATTTTGAAACGAATTTGTAAACTTTGAAATTTCGGTAGAAATTTGGTTTTGAGAAATCGAAAAAACTGTGAGAAGGAAAAAAAAATTGTCTTATCTAAAAAAAAATAGGTTCAGAAACTGGGAATTTTGAAAAAAATTCGGATATTTGTACATTTTGAAAAAAATGAGAATTTTGAAATTTGGAAAGAACTTTGGATGTAAAAGTTGGGAAACAATTTCAAGAATTTTGAAAAAAAATTAATAAGTAACATTTTAAAAAAGTGTTTGTTGTCGTTTTGGCTACTACAAATTCAAAAAATAAATTATTTAAAAAATATAGTGACAATAATAACTCCAATTTAGTAAATAGGTAACTTAAAAAACAATTCTAACATTTAATACCAAGCACCCCACACTTTTTTACTATAATCGAATTTTTTGACAATTATTTTCTACCTTTTAGTTCGATTTGCTATTAAAACCTGTTTTTTAGTTTTTTTTAAACTATAATTTATTATGATACTTGTTTGACATTGAAAAGTTTAACTAGCCTCTTTAGGCTAAATTATTTGTTTAAACTATAATAAATTATAATTTACACAAACAAAAAACATGTTTCAATAACAAATCGAACTAAAAAGAAATTAATTTTCAAAAAATTCAATTATAATAAAAAAGCTTCGTTTTAGAAGAGAATAGAATTATTTTTTTAGTTATTATTTACTTAATTGCGGAGTAACTATGAAGGTTTAGTTGATGCATCTCTCACCCTTTTATCACTATAAAATAATTTTTTGAAAATTATTTTCTACTTTCCAGTTCAATTTGTTATTTAAGTTTTTTAACTGTAATTTATTTTTTGAATCGTAAGTCTCAAAACTACAATAAACATAATTATATTTTTTTCCACAATTTTAATTTTTTTTCAAATTTGAAATCATTTTTTCAAAATTCCCAATTTTTACTCAACTTTTAAATCCATATTTATTTCCAAAATTCTTTCAAAATTTCCGCATCTTCAAAATATTTTCCATTTTTCCGAATTTTCCTATTATTATCCAAAATTTCAAATCCGATTTCTTTCCATATTTAAAATTAATTCTTTTTCGACAATTCATGTTTCCCCAACTTTTCATCCGTTTTTTCAAATTTTCAAATCCAATAAATTTTAAAATTTCCACTTTTTCTCAAATTTCGGAATTTCCAAATCTCCAAATTATTGTCCGAATTTTTCAATTATTTTCCAAATTTTCAAATCCGATTTTTTTCCAAATTCAAAATTCGACACTTGATTTAAATTAACAACTTTTTCCCAATTTTTGACTTTTTTACAAATTTCTAACTTTACAAAATTCTTTCAAAATTTCCATTTTTTCATATATCGAAAAATTTTTTTAGAAATCCCCAAATTTTTCCAAGATTTCCTAGTTTTTTCAAGATTTCCACATCTTAAAATTATTTTCCAAACTTCCAAATTTTCCCATTATTATCCAAAATTTCAAATTTAAAATTCATTTTTTCCCAATTTTCTTTTCCAAATTTAATATATAATTTTTTTCAAAGTTCCCAATCTTTTCCAAATTTCCAAATTAACAGTTCTTTCAAATTTTAAAATTTTCTATTTTTCTCAAATTTGGGAATATCCAAAAAATTAATAAATCCCCAAATCTTCAAATTATTTTACAAATGTCCGGATTTTTCAAATATTTTCCAAATTTTCAATTCCAAATTCAATAATCGACATTTTTTAACACTCACAATTTTTTCTCAATTTTCAAATCCATATTGCAAAGTTTTCAATTTTTTTTGCAAAATTTTCGATTCTTGAAATTATTTCACAAATTTCCGAATTTTCCAGCTGTCAGTGCATCACTTTTTAAAATTCATTCACACGATACCTGGTACCTTGGTACTATGTATATCTTTTCAGTGTCAAAAACAAAGATAAGGTTACTCACCGGATCGAACACCAACATTTGACATAATAAATGGACGACCTCATGCGTAGCTTGCGACGACAGCGTATAGAGGGCGCTGAGCGATGGTGGTTTTGGTGGTCTGCGCAGCATGTGTGATTTGGCACCTTCACAAGCGTACTTCATGTCTTCCAAAGACGGCGTTCCCAGAAGCTCCGTTATCAGTTCTAATTGCTGGACGGGGTTTTGGGCTTGAAATAATATTCTGAAAAAAAGACATTATAATATTTATCGCAGACATCGAACAAAGTTTGTACCTCAACTAGTCTGCGGATTCGGACTAGCCAGTCGAGAATTTTTTGTCCCAAAGTTTGTAGTGAGGTCCAAGTACATTTGACGTAAGTCAATGTTCTGACTGTTCTGTCATTGAATTCGTATTTATAGTGTTGTTTCTTAAAAGTGCGAGTGTTTGCATATACAACAAAATACAACGAAACTGGCTAAAAATCAGTTTTATAATTCACTGTAATAAAGACGCACCCTCGTTTTTCTCCCAGGCAATAACAGTATATTAAAAATACATCTTTTTCAGCTAAAATTTCCCCAAAAATATCATAACCGAGTCATTCTTTTAAAATATAAAATACTACAACAATAATTACACAACATACAAATATTTGGAAAGAATTTTCACTGCACATGAAATGTTCCTTTAGTTTTCTCTTCTGAATTACCGATTTAGTAGTTATATCAGTATGCAATTTTGTAAATGAAAATCTAAATTTCCTTTTGTATAAAATTCTGGTGATTGCTATTCAATTCTATGTAATATTCTGTTTGTTGTGGAAAAAATGATTTTTTTAATTTAAATATAAAAATAAGAACCAAATATAATGTGTCATTTATTATATTCAAATACTGCAAATCTTGTAACATAGATTTTATTTTGGTGTACTTATTTCTATTCGATATTATTCTCATAGCTTTATTTTGTAGGATAGGCAATTTTTAAAATAATGTATCAAGTGATCCTCAAACTTTAGTTTACTATCAATATACGTATATAAATATCCAAATATTTAATAAATTCAACTTTTTAAATTATTTATCCTAATTGTATAGTATTTTCTTTCAAGTATTTCCTTATTAGCATACTTTTTGTTTTAGAAGCATTTGCTTTCAGTTTATTTACACTTAATCAATTTATGATTTTGGCCAAGTGAGAATTTAGCATTTTTAAAGCAGTGTCTATATTTTCATCTGATATTTATATAAATAAGACATCTGCAAATATCTGAATTTTACACCAGTCTAAAATATTACAAGTGTCATTAATGTATAAATTAAATAGCAGTGGACCTAGTTTACTACCTTGCGGTACACCACCAGAAATATTTTTTGAACTTCATCATGTATGTAGATCCAAGTTCATTTCAGTCAGTTCTTAATCAGCTAATTGAGTCAATTGTTGCATATGAACATCATGTAATGTCCTAAATTGTTACTACTACACATTTTTCGTTTACCTTCGTCCTAAAAGTTCTCCAAATATACAGCCGACAGACCAGACATCCACCGCTGCCGAGTAATGTTTGGCACCCATCAGTATTTCCGGCGCCCTATAATATTGCGTTACTACTTCTTGGGTCATGGCTTTACTGCTATCAGGCTCTTCTACTCTTGCTAAACCAAAATCACAGATCTAGAAAAAATATTATAAAATTTTACTGGACGAATATAAGATAGGGATGGGGATCTCGATACCTAGGGGATTAAATTAGAAAAAAGTTGCGTTCTTTGGGGCGTTTAGAAACTTGTAAGAATTCTATGGAAAAACTCAAACTTGACCAATTTATTTTTAGTTTTTATCTGGATTTATTTTAATATCAAAAAACCAATGAAACTTTCCCATTGACACTTTTTAGGCACTACATGATGGTGTTTTTGAAAGTTGTGCCCGATGGTGCGTTATTGAAAAACCACCATCAACTTAATTTTTTATATGGTCCGAAAAAAGTAAATCTTGTATCTAATAACATTTTTTATACGAATTCAACGATATATCACATGCTACATTCATTTGCTTTGTTATAAGGAAAAATGCGTTTCTTTTGGTTTTTTATTTCTTTTGAGTAGTCGTTTATTATGGCCAAAGATTTTAGCAATGAAGAAAAGTTCGATATTACATTTTGTAATACAAAGATACTAAAAAAACTGCGGCAATCTTAAAAAACAACATGAAATCCAACGTCTGCCTGTAATACCAATTGGAACAGCAACAAAAAAAAGGAGGGTATTTTTGCCAGTTATCTCTCATCTATATAGGATTTCACACCTTTTTTGGCCACTACTTTTTTGTCGTTACAATTGGTATTAAGGCGGGTTTACACGCTGCGTCTTATTGTACGTTTTGTGGGACAGGACAAATCCTATCCAATCAAACGTGGCGTGTAAACAGCAAAACGTACGTCTTGTCGAATCGAAATGAAATCCAAGGTCAGAGAACTCTCAGTTGCTAACTCTAGCAACTGACAATAGACTGAGGTGTCCATTCGCAAAGAATTGCGCCAGTCACCAAGTTCGCTCCTCAGTTGTTTCAATAACGAAACGTGGGAATAGTAGAAGCCATTCAGTTGACCATCCGCGTTTCCTCCATAAAAAAATTCACTAATCAAACTTGACACAAGTCCAGAGTCTAGATGGGAACTGTAGTAGAAAGCGGAACGTAAAAAACGTACGTTTTGTCGTACGTTTTGTACGCTCGACAAAACGTACAATAAGACGTAGCGTGTAAATCCGCCTTTAGACCCACTTTACGGACTTTACATGATGTATAGTACATAGAAAGAAAATATTTTATTGTGTAATAACATTAGCTCGCCATAGGAAAAAAGCATCCAGATCACATAAAAACGCAGTGTCAAACAATAAAATATGATTGCGCAGTGAAAATACAATATCCACGATAATCAAATATACCAATCCATTTTATTTTTACTATAAAACTTGGAATGTGTTTTATTCTGGAAGCAAAAATTGAAACAGTTAATATAAATCCATTCTGTTTTATTTTATTTTTGAACGTCAATAGGCAACAATGTTTTTCAGTTATTCAGGGTGACTTTGAAGTTGAGTAATTAATTTTCAGATAATGATTGTAGAAGGAAGATAAACCAAAATATGTGTGTAAAAATTAAAAAAAAATGTTACCTTGTTTTATAAAATATCCTCCCGACAAGTATTTCAGTGCGGACCTGTATTTGATCGTGAGGTCTTGGAGCACCGGTATGCCGTCCATATGTGACGTCTTAAGTCAAATGATTCACGAACCCGTTGTACTACATTAACAAAGGCACGAGGGGTTGGTTGCACTCGATTGGGAAACCGATCCGCATAAACATGTGCCATTTTTTATTTCGTTTGAGCCACGCAACAGACACCACTATCCACTACCGACTGACACTGACTGTATACAACTGAATGAAATAATTGTAAAAACATCGTTCCAAATTCTTTCGCTTTTTTGTTTCCGATGCGATGAACCGATAAGGCGAATTATATCCGTTGTCGCCAAACACGAGCACATAATATTATTATTGAAACAGGGCGGTACTCAAACTTCCAAAGGGCTATAACTTTGTTACTTTAATTTTACCAGAAAAATGGTAAAGGAAAAAAACATTTCTTTTGATCAGATCTACTCACTGTTAAAATAAATGACTCAACTTCGAAGTTACTGGCCTGTGACATTTGAAAAACTATTTTTTTGACAAAATTGAATGTAAATGGTCTTTGATATATTCCAGTGAAAATAACACTTTAACACGAAAAAATCACATTATTATAATTCGTTTTTTTTTGCGTATAAAAATTTACATCAAAAATAAAAATTACCATATTTTGTAAAATTTCATATGGCACAACAAAAAGTGAATGTGAGATCCTCGATAGAAGTAGAACCGAAAAAGTTATGTTACATCAAAAGTATCGCCCAGCTACTACTAGAAAACAGTCTCATCCTTTCGCTAGTGTGTAGTGTCAGATTATTCGCAAGAAAATGATCTCTCTATTTGAAAAAAATAGTGTTTGTAACTTTTAGAAAAAAATCATGTTGCTTGATCAAAAATTAAGCGTTTTTACAGGATCTATGGCATTCTAGATTGAAAAATAAAAATTGAAATAAAAATGACTTTATTTGTCAAATATTGACAAGTGAGGCGTTGTCGTCATTCTCGATGGAAATAAGTAAAAATATATAGGGTGTCTCATTTAAAAATGGAAAGTTGGAGTCGTTTGCGGTCAAACCAAAGCAAGTGAATAGGTCAAAAAATGTAAATTCCCTATATTGCTCAATCTTCAATAATAAAAGACTTATAGGGTGTGCCACCTTGGAGAATCACCCTGTATACTTGAAAAGTTGTTCAATATAATCACTTTCCATCTATTTGGAAGTTGTCTAGGGTAACTACTGTTTTTAAAAAAGGTGAGAGGAATTATGTAGAAAACTATCGGGCTATCACAATTATCAGTAATTTTGCTAAAACATTCGAAATAGTGATACAAACTGTGCTATATTTTCATGTAAGCAGGTATATCTCCGTCAGTCAACACGGTTTCATGAAGGGCAGGTCCACAGTTACTAACTTGCTACATCTTACTCAATATGTTTGTGAATCAATCGATAGACAACTTTAAACGGATGTAATATGTACGGATTTCTCTAAAGCGTTTGATAGTTTAGACCATAACATTCTACTCAATAAGTTATCTAGATATGGTCTTTCAGATGCATTGTTGCTATTTTTCAGATCTTATTTATGTCATAGGAAACAATATGTTATGTGCAATGGACATAAGTCAAGCGAATACCCTGTAATGTTCGGTGTTCCTCAAGGATCTAATTTGGGACCTCTGTTATTTATTATGTTCATAAATGATATTTCTGAAGTTATCGATGTCGATTTTCTTATATATGCTGACGATATGAAACTTTTCTGTAGAGTCTCCAACATTGACGATTGTCATCGCTTGCAACGCAACATTGTAAGGGTTGACAACTGGTGTCGTGAAAACAGACTTGTTTTGAATGCTGCTAAGTGTCACGTTTTGTCGTTTACTTTAAAAACAGGGGTAATGATGTATGAATATAGTATTGGTGATAGGAAACTTGACAGACCTAGTACAATTAATGACTTGGGAGTCACTTTTGACAGAAAACTTTCCTTCTCCTATCACATTGAAAATGCTGTTGTGGCTGCATCAAAGGCGTATGGTTTTATTGTAAGAAATACCGGTGATTTCCACAACTCCTTTACACTGAAAATACTGTACTATGCTTATGTAAGATCTAAGCTTGAGTATGCGTCCCTGGTATGGTATCCTCATCATCAAATATATATTGACCGCTTAGAGTCCGTTCAAAGAACGTTTTTAAAATACCTCTCATACAAAGCTGACGGGATATATCCCGCTATTGGCTTTCCTCATAGTGAGTTGATGGCGAGACACAAAATCTGTAATTTAGAGAGCAGACGCAAAGTGAATTCACTTAAGTTCATTCACAAGCTCCTCCACGGCATTATTGACTCCAGTGTCATCTTAGAACAACTTAATTTCTTAATTCCTAGATTAGCGTCACGAACTAGTTTAACTTTTTACTTAGCCAGGCCTAGGACTGACATACTTAAGTTTTCCCCTATATATATAATGTGCCGTAATTATAATTCAGTTAATAGCGTTTTAGATATATTTTCGTTTTGTGCGACTTTGGGAGACATTAATGCTTGTTTTCGATAATGCTTGCCGGTGTGATTGTTGAGTGCTGGGTAGGTAAAGCTAGAACGCTTTTGTTTTCCTCCCAGTTCTGTTTTGAGGTTTTTTTTTGCAGCGTTTTAGCTTTCTCTACATACATCCACAACATACATTTGTTTATATTTTCGTGTTTATCCATCCTGTAATTGGCTAAGGCTGTTGGATGTTGCTAAATAAATAAATAAATAATGGAAAGGAGATAAGGTTGGCACGATAGAATTTGACGTCCACCTTAGCAAAAATTGGACGGAGGAAGAACTCCATTTGAAGTCAAATTCCTGTTTTACACTTTTGAAATTTGGCCGTGAACTCGATTCATGGAGAAAACGTCTGTAAGACAAAAAACAGCAAATCAAACATGAGGAATAAAGGAACTAACCCCGGTGAAACAAAACCTTACCATATTCATTACTGCTGAAACTCAATTTGCTGGGTGAAGTACCCGTCATAACATTTTAACTAATTTTTTGTGAGACAGCGGATCGGAACGTAAAAACAAATTAGCGACGACAAGGAGCCTGTATACGTGTAAGTGAGCGTAAAGAAGTTATTATACGACTTTTTTTTTCGAACTGCAATCATTCCGTCATTTTAGTAGTAACGTTACGCGTTTTACTTACCTTAAGAACACAATTGCTATTAACGAGGAGATTCCCAGGTTTTATATCTCTATGTAATATCCTAGCCGAATGTAAATATTTTAAACCTGCAATGAAAATAATACACGTTAGGTTCTCATTTATTATCAATAAGATAATGCATTTCTATTGCATATCAACGGAATTATGATTTGCAAAGTTGTAATGAGATGCTGTCTACTAATGAACATCCATTCAATTTATTGACTGTCTTATCGGATAATCTGAGAAAAATAGCATAAAGTTTGGATGAAATTGAAAGTTACGACAGGAAAAAATGTTTTGTTTCAATTCTTTATTTGCGAAAAATAGGGTCAAAAATAATTTTTTTCACGTTATTTTATCGTTAATAGAATGAACCTTGGCCGCTTTTTAGCCACTAAATTCTCACAGATTGAATTTTTGAACACCAAAAACTAGCAAAGAATTTTCAAGTTATTGCGATAAAACCATTAAAAATCTGTTAATTTACTATTCACCTCTATTCGTACGACACTGACCTCTACCCTGCGTTCAAACATTTAATCTGTGAATATTTCAAGGCTAAAAAAGGTACCACGGTTCATTTTCTTATCGATGCAATAACTTGGTGAAAAAAATATAAAAAATGATTTTTGACCTAATTTTTTGTAAATAAAAACGATTGTACGACCCATATTCTCGTTCAGTAGGCTTCTTCACAGACTTTTATTAAATAATTTGCTCACTTACAATTTTTCCCACAACTTACAGTATATTCAGATAAGAGATAGACCGGACATAAACAAGACCACGTGATCATCGAACGCTGTAACATTCGGCAGGGACGTATTAAGAGTCACGCAGTACATATTTTAGATAGTAGATGCTGCTTTGCGTAACTTTATAGTAAATTAGCACAATTCGATGTGTATACGATTGGTGATGGATATAGGATCATGTGGGGGTGGGGTAAGAAATATATAATGATGTAAATATACATGAGGGTTTCAAAATTTTCGCTTCGATTTCCAGCTTCGGATGCCGCCTGATGTTTGGTGAAATACAGTCGAATATAATCTCAAAATGGCGTTTAAATTAGCCTAAATTAAAAATAATCGTATATCTCTTAAAATTGCTTTTAGAATATTGATTAGTATATTTTTTGATTTCTAGGTAAATATGTAACCAAATTAAAACGTTCAAAACGTAAAAAAATGTGCATGGTTGAACATTGTCAGAAAGTAGATTCTTGAATAGGTTTTGCCAAAATGGGTTCAAAAATGTCAATAATTAATTAAAAAATACAGTAGCTTTATAATTACTTATAACTTACCGAATTTGATGAACGACATCTTTTATTGGAAAGATGAGCTTGATGAGTTTTCATCATCGCTACTGCCTGAAGCACCAACGTCAATAATGAATGGCTCGACTTGTGCCTCTAAAATATTGTCCAGTTCCCACATTCTCTTTTCAACTTTGTCTTTCACGTGCTTAATACAGTTTTCCCATTTTTGCGCTGTTATTAATTCTAGTGCTTCTTTGAAAAGTCCTTTGAGGTCATAAAATTTAAAAGTTGTATTGTGCTTAGCTATATAATTTTTAACCTCTGCCCATATGAGCTCAATGGGATTGAGCTCGCAATGGTATGGAGGTAAACGGAGCACAGTTTTATTTTGACTTGCTGCCATTTCGTCAATGGCGTATTTTTGATATTCCGCCTTGTGATCCTTGACAATTCTTAATAATTGTACTTTCAGCATTGCTTCTTCAAAGCTGATATTTTTCGAGCGGAGCCAATTTTGAACATCAACTTTCCTTGAAGCCGTTGTTGGGACCTTCTCCATTCTTCGAGAATGATAAGGCGCATTATCCAACACAATTACTGCGTTTTCCTCTAAGTTCGGTAAAATTTTTGAAAACCACTGTTCAAACGATTCGCCATTCATTTCCTCGTGGTAATCTCCAGTTTTCTTAGACTCGAAGCACCACAGACCGTCAACAACAAATCCATCCTCACTGCCAATATGGCAGATAATGAGCCTTTTCCCTTTACCTGGAAATCGAAGTCTCTACTAACTGGTGTAGATTTATTTCAATAAGCGAACCTTTTTCAAATGTTTTCATCACATTCAGCGAAAAAACATTGAGACATGAGTATCAGATTGCTATAATTGGGATTATTTAGTCATATTGAAAGAAAGAATATTGAACGTCGTATGATTACTCAGTGCTTCACAATTTAATTTAAAGTTATAAACCTTTAAAAAATGAATGATCAGGAACCTGAAATACGCGCAAATATTAATATTAACAAATTATAACTTTATAAAGCTTAAAGTATGAATTAAAATGATTAGAAATATTAGGAACGGTACACAATATAAAACTTAGTAACTTTTTTAAGTTTATAATATTCGACATATTTTAAGATTATATTAAAAAATTATTGAAATATCGAAAACACATAAAAACATGGCTTAAAAAAGTTCCAACAAATGAAAATGACAATAAAACATCCACGCATTTTATCGAAAGTTATAAAAGTTTTTTTACTTGTAATATGTTTTATCTGCCCCCTGGAATTAATATTTAGAACCTGGTTCCCAAGGTTTGAAAAACATCCGATTGTTGTCTATTACTCGTATTTACCTGCTGGATTTTTTAATCCGGTGGACAGTTCATCTAGAAAGGCCGTCCTGGATGAAGTTACAGAATCATCAACCCATACTTTACTTGTAGTGTGTCCTGCGTTTACCCACGTTTCATCAAGGTAATAAATCTTCCTGTTTTGGTTTCTATATTTCCCAATTTTTGTTAAATAATCCCTCCTCCATAGCACAATTTCTTCTCTATCCAGTAGTAAACTATTACGACCCCGTTTTTTCCATTTGAAATTTAAATGCTTCAGTAACGCATGGAAAGTTGATCGTTTGAAATTTGGCAACGTTGTATCTCCATTTACCTCCTGCAGTACTTTATCTATAGTAGGTATTTCATTCCTAAAGAAGAATTCATGCACCTTCCTCCTAATCGCATGCTTATCAGCTTCATCCAATGATTTAACAATACTTTTGCGATGTTTACTGGTCATTGGCTCAGAAAATGTGTGATTTTTTTTGTATTGTCTTAACACATTAAACACTGATGCGCGACACACCCCAACTTTGTGAGAAACCTTCACAACAATTTCTTTGATGGTTGATGCCTCGTTCTCCTCGCGCTCGATCTTATATACGAGTATATTCAAAATGACCTCTTTCATTTCTGCACTCAGGTGTCTTTTTTTAGAGCGTTTCCTAGGTGGACTACAGGAGTTTACAACTTCATTGGCAGTATCTGTACTACTGGGCATTTTGCGCAAGCAGTTGATAACAATAACAATCAATAACAAGGTATAGCAATAACAACGACAAACTCAACAACTTAATAAGATAACAAACGAAAACGTCCAAAGAAATATCAAATTGCAATGATGCACACGACATACGTAACACGTCTGAACCTGAATGTGACTCTGCCTTGATACGACTGCTCTGCCGCTCGGCATAGGCATTTAATTGCGAATTGACCAATGAGGGCTCCTGTTTTACGTCGAGACGGCGGCGTTAGCGTCAAAATCACCCGAACCTTTTGTTTACATCCGGTCTATCTCTTATCTGAATATACTGTAGTGACATCATGTGCACAAAAACTTTCTTAACAATATGAGAAAAACAAAGAATCCATCCACATTTGACACAGGTCGCAAATAAAAATTCTATCATGTACAAATATGGTACTAGAGAAAAATGGTTTCAATTTTTGAAAAAAATGCGAGAGTTGTTTCGGAAATATGGTTTCCAATAACTTTGACAAAATCTGGCAACACCGTTGTGTTTGTCGGTTCCCCCACCTTCGATCCCAACAAGAGGCGTCTATTGGCGACGCTCAGTAAAATAGCTTAAAGACCCGATGGTAAATTCGTTATTTCAAATAAAAAAATCCTTGTGCCTGAAAAAATGTGGAAACCTTACTTTTGGAACAACCCTCGTACTAGAACTAGTAAGATATATAAATAATGATACCCACCTCTAAGTATCTGGTACAAGAAAACTTTTATATGGTCCGACGAAAGGGGTTGATGTGAAACTATAACCTTATGTAGATCACTCTGTAGCAGTTCCGTAATTACATATCTGTGCGAAATAAGGAGTCAAGGAAAATAATGGGCAATTATAGATGTTTTTGTATATACATAATAATGAATAATGGCGTGCATTACAAAGAAGGCAGCAGACGATAAAATACGTCCCTCTTTGAAATACATACGCACTCATTATATAGTGAGTACACATTCGGAGTAAACCTTTTTTATCACTAACAGCGGAAACTATCTCGGGAATTTATTACAGGCTAGCAGGCAACGTTCCCACGATAATCTTGACTGGTCCCCGGAGACAAGCTGCGATTTGTCGAGCGGGATTGCTTCAAATGTAGTTTTACCTAAAGATTGGAACAGACGAGGTCTTTAAATTCAGTGATGAGACTGGCAACGTAGCTTTCGATCTGGAAACAATGGATGAGCCGTGCAGGGGGGGGGGGGCAGTCATTTGGTTGTCCGTAGCATTTTATTGCGAAATAGTTTTTTCTAAAAATATACTAAAAATTTGAGAAATAACATGACGTGTAATAGATTCAGCACAAGACATCTCACTCTGAATCGGCTCATCTCTTATGTAAATGCTGATCTGATATGGTTAAATAATGTTACGAGAACTTGCTTGAAAATAAAAAGTTGAACTTTGATGTGCTACATTTTTTTCTGGAAAGTTCATATTTTTACTACAAGTACGTACAATTATTCTCCAGCAAATGGAAACTAAAAATCTACAAAAGTTTACAGCTACGACGATTTTGAAAAGATTTTTGGCCTAAAACAGCAATTATCAAAAACATTTTTTTCACTTCGAAATATAGTTTTCCATGAGATATATTTTTTTGGCAATTTTAATATATTTAAGTTATAATTTAGCTTTTTCTTTACAATTTTTGTAACTGTCATTAAATATAGAACTTGATAAATGGCTCCAAAAAACTATTTTATAAATCAAATGACTTAAAAGTCACACATGAGCATTTACGTATGAGTGATTTAAGCCATTTAAGCCAGCAAGAGCTCAAGCTATGCTCAAGGTATGGCTCATGCTATGCTCAAGCTATGGCTCAGGCTATGCTCAAGCTATGACGTCAAGGCATGCTCAAGCTATGGCGTCAAGGCATGCTCAAGCTATGGCGTCCAGGCATGCTCAAGCTATGCTCAAGCTATGCCGAAGCTATGGCTCAAGCTATGCGCAAGCTATGCTCAAGCTATGGCGTCAGGGTATGCTCAAGCTATGGCGAAGTTATGGCTCAAGCTATGCGCAAGCTATGGCGTCAAGGTACGCTCAAGCTATGACGTCAAGGTATGCTCAAGCTATGCTCAAGCTATGGCGCAGGGTATGCTCAAGCTATGGCGTCAAGCTATGGCTCAAGCTATGGCTCAAGCTATGCCGAAGCTATGGCTCAAGCTATGCGCAAGCTATGGCACAAGCTATGTTCAAGCTATGGCGTCAAGGTATGCTCAAGCTATGGCGTCAAGGTATGCTCAAGCTATGGCTCAAGCTATGGCGTCAGGGTATGCTCAAGCTATGGCGCCAAGCTATGGCTCAAGCTATGCCGAAGCTATGGCTCAAGCTATGGCTCAAGCTATGCTCAAGCTATGGCGTCAAGGTATGCTCAAGCTATGGCATCGAAGTATGCTCGTGCTATGGCTCAAGCTATGCCGTCAAGCTATGGCTCAAGCTACGCTCAAGCTATGGCTCAGGCTATGGCTCAAGCTATGCCGTCAAGCTATGTTCAAGCTATGCCGTCAAGCTATGTTCAAGCTATGGCTCAAGCTATGCCGAAGCTATGGCTCAAGCTATGCTCAAGCTATGGCTAAAGCTGTGCTCAAGCTATGGCGTCATAACTAAAGCTACAATAGTTGAAGGTCTCACATAATGTTTTCCTTCGAACATGACGACCGCTATAAAAAAGACTGTTAGACAACTTAATGCTTTATTTACTAAAGTTTGATTGTGAATAGAGAAACGAACGTCATAACTAAAGCTACAATAGTTGAAGGTCTCACATAATGTTTTCCTTCGAACATGACGACCGCTATAAAAAAGACTGTTAGACAACTTAATGCTTTATTTACTAAAGTTTGATTGTGAATAGAGAAACGAAGGCTTGGAGTGCGCTGTATGGCTTTATTCTCGCATACTCGTATATGAGGTATATCGCGGTCGAGTACCTCACCCGACTTCTTTTATAATTTTTTAACGACAGAACAGGAAACTGCGGCAACTACAAGTGTCTTTTATCTTTTTCTGTTAACGCTCGCGCGTGTTGTTTCTCATCATCTACCTGTTGCATGCTCGGGTTTTAACCCAGTACTAACAGGCATAGCTGCTCAGTGTTTTTATGATGGAAAACGCACATTCTATCCATATTATAATTAAACATTTTCGCTTTCCGCAAAGAATTTAGGTTTATATTTGGACGAAGATGTCAATTTTCAGGAGCATGTGTTAAATATAAAAATAAAGAAAATTTCATGTAAGTAAAATAGCTTACTGTGATTTTGTTTATTATCCCCGGCTGAATAGAATAAGAAAATACAGGCTGCAATTAAGAAGGTACTTCCACGCTTTTCACTTGATATCCGATATGTCCAAATACCACTTTGTCACATTTGTTATTAAAATATTAAAATCTACATAGATTTTTGAAAAAAGTACACAAACTGTGACATGCAAATAAATTAGCAGTTATAGGAGCATGACGACAAAACTGGGCTAAAAACTTCTAGAAAAAATATTCCGTATTCTCGGTAAACTCATGATTTTATTTTTATACATAACCCAATGGCAATGGCGTGAATTCGATCTCACGCAACATTTGTCAAGTGCCTGGATTAATGAGTCATACACCGAGCTTACAGAAAGTTGTATAATAACATTTTTACACTTCTCGAAAAATCAACGGCGTAATTTATGTCCCATTCGTAAGAAAACATCTATAGCAATAAAGCACACTACAGTCGCGTAACAACATATAATTAAATTGACATTACAGATAAAATCTCTGGTTGTTGCATACAGCGGTAAAGCGGTGTTTACACTGGACACGAACGATATTCCAATAACAATGCCAATAGTTGTGGACTTGTAAAGATTAACCAGTGCTTCACTTTTTAGTAACTGGATAACTGAGGCCTTAAGCTCGAGGTTCGTAAAAGTAATTGTCCCTTGAGTACTGGAAGTTATATTACGGTATAGAATTTAGTACAAAGATTTCATAGGTATATGTTTGTTCAGATTATGATAGCCAGCTTTTCAACCATATTCATAAAGAGGTTTTTGAGATATTGCACATAGGCGCCATATAGGTCGATAGATACCCTAAACCACATGCATCGTGGGCTTATTCCTGCTTCATTTTACTGTACTTTTATTGCGCGGCGTTTTGTTAAACAACTTTGATATTTTATTTTTTGTGTTATCATTTGAGCCTCCACACCGGCGAACCTACTCAACTCATAGCAAACTTGCCCCTGACGTCACAACCTCATTTTGCAGCAAATTTTAGAGCTGTACTGTTATTTATTAACAAGTTACGATTGGAGACAAAATGCATAAAAATGCATTTTTTGACAAAAAAGAAACTGATAACATCAAAGTATTTACAGAAGACAAAAAAATACATGCGACATTAAGCCCTCGATATATAAATAACTATTTTATAAAGTAGAAGCCACAAAAGTATTAACCTAAATACAGGTGTCTACTATAAAGCGGTCAGAAATATTTGTTTCAGATTTTCAAGTTGAAACAAGTGAAAAAACCGTCCACAATCTCGACACTCTAGCCGTTAAGGAACGGTCGTACCGGCCAGTTCAACAGAGTTTGTCGATCCTAAAGGAACATTTTACTGTTAAGGTCAACAGTCAAGTGAGGAGTCGATTTTAGTAGTAACTGAGCCGTTCAGTCCGCCATGTGAACACACCTTTATGAATAATAAGTAATTATTCTCCGTGGTTCGGCAACCGACTGGCACTGCTGCGAATCATATTTAAAAGCTTTCCTGACATTGACCATCAACCTTCGAACTGAATTGTTCGTTTATTATAGTTTCATTGACTTTTTATTGTTACGGCGATTGCGAAAATTAAAATCGGTACGAGAACGAGATCCGTGATGCTGTTTTTTTGGATCGCTATGGAAATTGGAAAATATTTTTTCGTCGCTGTTTACTGGCGTATGAAGGCAGTTTTTTCAAAAAGTCAAATATTGAAGTGCGCAAGTAGATGGAAAACTGACGATCGCCATCTACGAGGTCTGTAAATTAAGTAGTGAGTCCGGTTCGATCGGTCAACACTGGAGGCGCGCCGGGCTTGGAGGGGAGACAGGAGAACATGTGATTCGGCTTCAGTACAAGTTTGAACTCATTCGAGGCATTTGCGAAAGCTTAGTTATATCCAAAATTCTATACTGTATTACTTTATTATCCATGTTTATAACGAATCACTGCAAAACGACTACAAAATAGTTGTTGTCGTCTGATGAATAATTTAAAAAAGATTGACCGTTCTTCAAGGAGCACTGATACTTAAGGCTGGTGGAAAACATCACTTTCCGTCAGAACGGGGTCAACAGTGGCGATTTCTCAGTTTAGTAGTGTTTGATACCCCGAAGCTCAGAAATAGCCGATGGAAGTCCCGCGCTCTGTTTGTGTGTAAACGAACTATTGAGTCAATTTCGCGGCAAACGATATACGACGGGTTAAAACCGGAGCAAACTCATTATCTAAAGTGAAACTGCAAATAACCCGGCGCTTGTTGATCACACACAGACGCACACGAAACCCGGGAGTTGAGCGGAGGTGCACTGGGAGGGTTGGAGCTTCCAACTCCGCTTTCCATGTAACGAAGAGGTGGGATTTTAGGAGTTATTAGACTGTAGAGTGGACAAACATTTTTTACTTAAGGAAAGGGTGGAGTTATTATACTTTTTGCAAATGAGTGAATTGAACATTGAAGATGACGAACACTTCTAGTTCAAAAATGACGTCAAGTAGATCGACTCTCCACTTTTTACGTCTTTGTTGGAGGTAG